TACTTGTCCCTCGGTCCAGTGGTGTCCTCACCACGGGTGGTTTCACTGGCTGTCTTCTCTCCCTGGCGCTGGCATCTTTAGTGTGTGCACCCGGCTGTGACAGCTTGTGGCTTCACAGCCTGGTGCCCACTGCGCATGTGCAAGAAGCGCTGCACTTTGTGAATGGCCCCATCATCTTCTGGGATCTGTCACGTGTCCCAGAAGACTACGGGGAGGGAGGGGGGGAGGACAACTTACATTGACCTTCGGCAGAAGAAGTGGAAGCGGGTACCTGTTAAATTTGGGTACCTGCTCCCCCCCTCCCCAAAGGTGCTACCTTAATGGGGAGCAGGGAATTAAAGCGGTACCCCTGGGTGGAGCTGCCCCCAGGAGAACTCCCCAATCTAATTGGGATGCTAAGCCTTAATGGGGAAGTGCTGCTAGGCTGCCTCTGGCTTCTGCAACAAGGAAGGTCCTGGATGTAAAGTGGAACTCTTGTAGAACACATTCCCCTATTGCTGTTCTAGCCAATCTCAGTGTGTAGCCCTGCAGGATGATTAACATTCTTTGAGATACTGTTAGGAGAGGAAATCCAGATGGCGGGAGGCATGCTGCCTCCCCAGAGATTGCTGCCATATGCCTCAGGTGGGTGACCTTAGGGCCTGAAGTAAGAGAGCTACCATTGCCAAATTTGTCTGGTATAAATGTGTGATGCCTGCTCAGTGCATTCAAGTGACTGCTGTGTGCTTTGCCCCTCTGGCTTTATAGTCTGTGCATCTGCAAAGGGGACCTAGGAACAAAACTGACATAAAAAGGCTGCTAAAGGAAGTTCCCTCTAGACTGATCACCTGGTAGTGATAGGCTAGCATGTTCAAGTCGAACGTAAGTTCGACTAAAACATTGACCATTTGTGTGGTTCTCGCTTGGCGAAATAGAACACACGAATGGTACCATTGCTGTGTGTTCATTGAACACACGAATGGTACAGGCGTTTGGCAGGCTGTTCACCCACTGCACCCCACAATTCACTGCACCCTGACAGTGCATTGTAATTGGCCAAAGCATTGCACCTGACCACAGGTGAGGTGCAATGCTTTGGCCAATCACAGGACATGATGACGTTACAACCACAGTGATGTCCTCACCCTATTTAAGAACTATTATAGCGGAGCAGCTAACAGATGGCGGGAGCCAGCATGGAGAGTGGAGTGGATTTTGTTTTCTTTTTTCGGGTCAGCGGTGGCAGATCTACTGCGGGGGACATTTAAAAATTTTTTATTAAAGGACTTGTTAAAGACTGTCCCCCGTCATGTTTACATTACACTTTTTTTTGTGAATGGGTAGCTGTACCATGTACCCCATAATCATACATATGGGGGGGACAGGATCTGGGGGCCCCCTTGTTAAAGGGGGCTTCCAGATTCTGATAAGCCCCACGCCTGCAGACCCCCACAACCACCGGCCAGGTTTGTGGTGAAAAGGCCCTTGTCCCTATCAACATGAGAACAAGGTGCTTTGGGGGGGAGCCCCCCCTGCTCCAAAGCACCCCCCCATGTTTAGGGCATGCGGCCTGATATGGTTCAGGAGGGGGGGAAGTGCTCACTCACCCCCCTTTTCCTGACCTGCCAGGCTGCATGCTCAGATTTTTTTTTTTCATTTTTGGCATGGGGCATACCTCTCAAAATCCATAAGGGCTTGGTATGGATGGGAGAGGGGACCCCACACCGTCTTTTTTTTTTTTTTTAATTGCTGGGTAATGCCAGCAATTCTTTTGACATTCAGCTGTCAGCAAGGAACTCCACTGACAGCTGAAACATGAATGAATGTTTCACTACTAAAATATTGCACAACTTAACAATATAACTATTTTAGTAACTGAGCGGTATCTTCCTGCATGCTCAGATGCGGCAAGATACCACTCAGTAAATTGTCCCCTCTGTTCGAAGTTCGTGGTCAAACTTTTGGTAGCTTTGAATGTTCAACCGCAAACCAAACAGGGAAACCAAACAGAGGGTTGTTCAGCCCATCACTAATCATTGAAGACAATGAGCGAAAGTGTGTTTGTATCTGGCTGTGAAACTACCTTCCACCTGGTTGCAAGATAAAAAGAGAGAACAATATAGACAATATCTTAGTCACACCTATGGGAGGGGGAGGGTAGTGCTACATAATAATAAAGCAAAACATGTAAATTACCAGTTCTATTAAAGAGTATTTTAATTTCCCATTATCATCATCATAGTCAGAAATAATGAAACAATAACTAATGAATATTGCTGATGAACTTAAGAACTCAAAGAGTCACATGCTTCCCTATATCTGAAAATTAAAGGGCAGTAGGTGAATAAAATGTCATGGGACTACAGGAAAGTGTTAGCAATGGAGGGGGTGGTCTTTCAAGTTAATCTGGAAAGTACAGGTTCACTTTAAAATAGATGTAAACCCTAACGCTTGGTTCACATCTGTGTGGGTGGTGCCACTGCGGGACCTTCACAAATACCTGCAGCTGCACCACCCACACAGAGGAATGTGGAACCCACAGACGGGTGCCATTAATTCTAATGGCAAGCTGCCTGCACTGGAAATCACAAACATACTGGGAACCTTGGGCTTGGATTTCCCAAGCAGTGCAGGGACTTCTTCCCTGCGTAGACACAGGAGTCCATTGAAATGAATGGGCTCTTGTGCCCGTGCAAATCGTGGCCCGCATAGCCGCACACATGTGCACCCGGAGTAACTGAATGACAATTACTTTGTTAAAGCACTGAGCATCATAAACAAATAAATAAATGCCATTTAAAACACAATCCAGATTTTCATCTTTTGTGGCATCTCCATGATGCTGATCTCATGCAGCCTCTGCAGCCTCATCCTGTCTACATGCACTTCAACATTGGCTGCAAGGCATTTCTCAAAGTGTGTATCCTGATGATGACAACAATTGACCATGAAATAATAATATGTATTGAAAACAACAAATTGTAACCTGTGACAGGGTAAAAATGAAGGTACACAAATGGGAGACTGGAAGTTTGTTGTCACTCTCTAACATGAAGCAGGATACCTATGTATTATTTAAAAAAGACTAAAGTTTAAAAGATATTGAAAACAACTTTAGAATATACATTGACATGTTAAAGCCTATGTACAATTTTAGTGACTGAGTTTACAAATACTTTAGGTCGGTTGGTCGGTCTGCAAGGGAGTGGAGGGGGAGCTAAAACCGCCTAAATATGGGGAAATAGAAATGTTAATTTCCATAAACAGCATATCTTGAAAGTAGAGCATATGCTTCATTTCATTCTTGAACTTGGAATAAAATGGACTTCCACCTACTACTGAATAAACAGTTTCTTGCTGTTTGCCTTAGCATTTTCATGTTTAAACATTTTAATGGGTGTTTGCTTAACTAAATAATTTGTTAGCTAATTGCAGAAAAGGTGTTGGTAAGAGGAAGCAAATGTCTGCTGGTTCATGGCAACCGGTTTATTGATTAAAGCTCAGCTCTAGCTAAGCAACATAATTCCCGATGAAACTAATTTTAACCCCTCTGGAAATGAGAAATGAGCTGTGGAAACACTGAAGTAAATAAAAAGACAATAAACATTTTTCAAGCTGTCACTAACATCAATTCAGTTATAATGCGGCATAAAAATCTTTTTATCACTGCAGACAATATTCTTTTCTTTCTTTAAATGGTTAGTTCAAACAAATTAAAATAGCAGAATGGTATAAAAATTAAATGTATAATGTGACTTTTGATTTCCAAATCCTTTATCATTAGGAATGTGATTACCATAAATTAAAAATATAGTAAGGACATGCTCACACTGTTTGTTATGCATTTTGACACATTTTCCAGTTTCCATATTTCCACATTTTTTTTGCTATGGTACAGTAACTTAATAGGTATTCACTTTTCAATATATTTTCTAAAAATACTTCTACCTTTCTTTGAAATGATGAAAAAAGTAGGTTGTCTGAACATGTCTCTGTTTACTGAACTGAATATATTATTATAGTAAATATACATATTATTTGTCTATCTCCGCTTTCCATTCAAAGGGCAATGACTACATATACTGTATGTAGGCTGCAAAGGGACTAGTTACAAAATGTTTAAATATTTGATTTGGTGCATTTTAAAAGGGAAGTATTGATTACAACAGGTTTGCTCATTTATAGAGCTGGTCAAGACAATTTCTTCACACATTTTCACCACTGTTCGACAAAGGGGAAAGTGACCCAGTAAAATCTATTCTGCACTATCCAGCATAATCTACACTCTTTATGACAAGACTTTCTGCCATTTTGTTAAAAAATTAGAAGCGTGTGATTTCAAAATAATAAACATATGTAGCAATCCTCTCCCCCCCCCCTTGCTCATCAGCCTGCCCTCTCAGCTGGTTTACTGTAAACAACCGGCTGTGCTGTGACAGGGGGGGTAGGGGGGTGCCCCCCTCAAGTTTCACATCAAGAGGACTATGGGTGTGAACCTTCTTCCCCCTCTCTCCTAACAACAGCAATAGACCAATCAGCTGGGAGGAGAGGAGGATCATGGGACATGTAGTCCTCAGAGACAGGCTGCCCATTGGAAATATTGGAGGATAAACTACAGCCCTCCAAGATCTGCAGCAGTAAGGAGGCAATTTTTCCAGAAAACATTTTCTCCTCAGTTCAGTGCTACCCAGGCAAAGTGTGTGAGAGGATCATGCTGGGAGACACCAGCTGAGGGAAAGACAGCCCATGCCAGTGAAAGTCCATTGTCATGTGTGTCAGGAGAGATGAAGCTGCTGCCAGGGTACAGACCTGCTGTCTACTTGTAATCCAGCTGCTGCTTGTTATCACTGGTAGAAACTGGTCCATTAGGAACTATCTACCCAGCTATTCTATAGCTCTAATACTGCCTGCAGGCCTTACTGACTGCCTTAAAGCATGTCAACAGTTTCCAGGTCCTCAACGCTGAAGAGTCAGAACTAAAGACTGCCTCTAACAGTTGCTGCCCTTGTCCCTTTGCTTAGTTAAAGAGGTACCTCCTAAGCAGGGGCGGACTGACAACTCATGGGGTCCCCGGGCAATAGGGGATCATGGGGCCCCTGTGTCCTTGCCCAAATTCAAAAAAGCCTATGAAAAAGGTACCAGGGGCATCTCATAGGGCCCCCAACTGCCCCCGGGCCCTCAGGCAGTGCCCGAGTTTCCAAATGGTCAGTCCGCCCTTGCTCCTAAGAGACATTGTACCACAGCCAATCCATTGGAGTGCACTCTAATTCAGAGTAGTATTATCCTCATTTATACTGCATTCAAGGTGGTAAAAACCTGTGTGTAGCAGCCCCCCACCCCCTTGCAAAACTTACCTGAGCCCTATCGCTGTCTAGTGATGTGCACGAGAGCCACAGCTCTCCAGGGCTTCTCCCTCCTCATTGGCTAGGACAGCAGAGGAGCCATTGATTTCCACTGCTGTCAGTCACAGTCAGTGAGCCAATGAGGACATAGAGGGGATGGGGCCAAGACACTGCTCTGTGTGTGAATGGGCAAGCCTGCTTGGGTGCCCCTATAGCAAGCTGCTCGCTCTGGAGGCACTTGGCAAGAGGGGGGGCCAGGAGAGTCAGTGGGGGACCTTAAAAGAGAGGGATCAGGGCTTCTCTGTGCAAATCCACTGCTCAGAGCAGGTAACATGTTTGTTATTTAAAAAAACCTTTAATTTCACTTTAATATTTATTAATATCGTTTATTGCTGTTTTGATAACTCACCTTTTGATTCTAGTTAGTGGTATAAAATTTACTTTTTGCCAAATTGGCATAATTATTACTCAGTCTAGCAGACTGTTAAGGGTATAATTACACTTGTGTCTCTACTTGTGCTTGCAGTGATTTTTTACTCAACTAGGTGTGGCAGAGAGGCTGAGGTTGTTCTTGGAGTTAAGGCGCAGAACAGAGAAGCCAAGTGGCTCCTTTGGGGGTGGCACTACAAATACATACTCACCTAGGTGGTTGCAGCATCGTTCTGATGCTGCACCGATACTCCACCACCTCTAAGCCCAAGAACTGAGCAATCAAAGACAGCTGATTGCTCAGTTCTCAGGTCCACTGTGAGCACAGAATGGTGACTGTCAGTCACCACTTTCTGCTGTGCCCCTCCAGTGCCCACTGAAGTGCAGGGCTTGATTCCTACATGCTAGACTGTATTTGCTACTGGTCCTTGGCTTGCTCACCTCCTGGTGGGGCAATCCTGAACATCTCCACCATCAAGAGCCCATCCCATTATCCTTACTGGCGAATGGGGAAAAATATCATGCTGGCTATCTATACTGATATGGACTGGGTAATGTGTTAGGAATGTAAGGATGCCCAATTGTTTGATGGAAATGAAAGTTATCAACCTACAGAGGACTGAATTCAAAGACACCTCGAAAATCAAATAAAAAATAATGCAGCAGGGTAGTCCATTTTGCTGAAATTTCATTGCAGCAACTCAAAATGGTACTCAGTAGCTTGTATGGCCCTCATGTACTTGTATGCATGTCGGACAACATCGGGGCATGCTCCTAATGATACAACAGATGGTGTCCTGGGGTATTCCCTCCCAGATATGCACCAGGGCATCACTGAGCTCCTGGACAGTCTGAGGTGCTACCTGGCAGCGTCAGATGGACTGAAACATGATATCCCAGATGTGTTCTATTGGATTTAGGTCAAGCGAGCATGGGGGCCATTCAATGGTATAAAATTCCTTCATCCTCCAGGAACTGTCTGCATACTCTTGCCACATGAGGCAAGGCATTGTCGTGCACCAGGAAGAAACCAGGACCCACTGCACCAGCATAGGGTCTGACAATGGGTCCAAGGATTTCATCCCGATACCTAATTTGTCAGGGTGCCATTGTCTAGCCTGTAGAAATCTGTGCATCCCTCCATGGATATTCCTCCCCAGACCATCACTGACCCACCACCAAAAAGGTCATGCTGAATGATGTTTCAGGCAGCATAACATTCTCCATGGCTTCTCCAGACCCTTCCACATTTGTCACATGTGCTCAGGGTGTAATGCTCTCATCTGTGAAAAGCACAGGGCACAGTGGTGGACCTGTCAATTCTGGTGTTCAATGGCAAATGCCAATCAAGCTCTATGGTGCTGGGCAGTGAGCACAGGGCCCACTAGAGGACGTCAAGCCCTCAGGCCACCCTCATGAAGTCTGTTTCTGATTGTTTGATCAGAGACATTCACAACAGTGGCCTGCTGGAGGTCATTTAGTAGGGCTCTGGCAGTGCATATCCTGTTCTTCCTTGCACAAAGGAGCAGATACCAGTCCTCCTGATGGGTTAAGAACCTTCTACGGCCCTGTCCAGCTCTCCTAGAGTAACTGCCTGTCTTCTGGAATCTCCTCCATGCTCTTGAGACTGTGCTGGGAGACACAGCAAACCTTCTGGCAATGGCACGTATTGATGTGCCATCCTGGAGGAGTTGGACTGCCTGTGCAACCTCTGTAGGGTCCAGGTATCGCCTCATGCTACCAGTAATGACACTGACCCTAGCCAAATGCAAAACTAGTGAAAAACAGTCAGACAAGATAAGTAGGGAAAAAAATGTCAGTGGCCTCCACCTGTAAAGCCATTCCTGTGTTGGGGGTCATCTCATTGTTGCCCATCTAGTGCACCTGTTGTTAGTTTAATTATCAGCAAAGCAGCTGAAACTGATTAATAACCCCCTCTGCTACTTACGTGACCAGATCAATATCCCAGGAGTTTAACTGACTTGATGCTATACTCTTACTCTGATTAAAAAGTGTTCCTTTAATTTCTTTGAGCGTATATTTATGTGGGGGAGATTTTTTTGTCTCTCCTGTGCTACGTGTTTCTCGTGGTCTATTTTAGCTGCCCTAATTGTGCTCTTACATTTCTTATTGAAAGTCAGGCTTCAGTAGCTCTTAAGCTTTACATACTTGAGCTACTGAAGCTTGATAATGAAAAGTCTTGGAGGCACCAACACTACTGGTGGAATAGGAAAAAGTGGAATCTTATCTTAAAAGCCATAAGCATGAGGAATAACTAACAGATACATCGAGAAATAGTATATATGGAAGCTGCATGACCCTTCCTTGGGCCCTCAGGAAGCACAAAGAGGGAATCAGACTGTCGAATATATCTATATATATATATATATATATCTGATATCACAAACCACGTCCAAGGTGTGAAGAGTCTTGTCTCCCAGCTTTTTGAGGCTTTTGAGAAAAAGATGGTAACACAATGTCATGGATTAGATGGAATGGAGAAACCACCTTCGGCAAAAAGGAATTCTGATATTGTAAAACATCCTCATCATAGTAAAGTACCAGAAGAAAAAACAGGCAATTCAGAAAATCTTCACACCAAAATAATGGCAACCAGAAAAATAAACTTCCAAGTCAGAAGACTCAAGGAATAACCCATATGGATTCAAATGGAGATTTCTACAATACAGAAAATACCAGGTAAAAGTCCCAGGGCATGAAGAGAATCTTAACTGGTGGAACAATGTGCATAATGCCTTTTCCAAAAATCCACACCCAATAAATGTGAGACAATCAGTCTTTAAAAAAAGGACAACCAAGGCTGAAATGGAATGCATTAAGGTAAAAATGTTTTGCCTTTATAACCACTTTAAATATTGTCTTCAGACATTTGCCTGAGGTATCTTTAAACATTGGAACAATGTCTACTATGCTCCTAAGGTTCCTATTGAAATAAGAAACTGCCAAATCGACCAAAGGGATGCTCCTTTTCCTAGTTAACTCATTCTCCATGGGATATTGGTGAGAGAACCTTTTTGCGTAACACCTTGTTAGGGTGAGCCTAGTTCGTGTATAAAACATCCTCCAAATTAAGATGTATAGGGAAGGATTAAAAATGCTGTGGCAGACACCATGATACAAATCTTGTAACCTTTGGAGTGAAGGACTCAGGAAATGGTTAAATTATTTGGAACAACTTCCACAAGAAAACTCAAAAAGGCCTTTTTGGTCCAAGACTATCCCTGGGGTTCTGCAGGAGGAGACTCCTTGGAAGGGGATTCTTCTGCATCTCCTTCTACCACAACATACTTGTCCTCCTTTACCTTATCCTCCCCTGTTTCCTCTGAAATAAGGGGGGAAGAGAGGGAAAACACTTCCGATTGAAAACCAGATGGCCCAACCCTGCAAATATTCCTCAAAGTTGCTGCTGAAAGTCAGCAATAGCAGACAAAATTCTTTCCTTGCCACAAATGAACTAGAGGAACATGGGTTCTAGTGGGTTAGAGCTGCATGGAACATACTGGCCTCTAGGGGATACATTGCATAGGAGACTGTGCCAAGAGTCCTCTCTTCCTGCTAGTATTTGAGAGCTCTTACATCCCCAATTCTCTGCCATGCAAGATAAATTGGCCTGCTGACAATGTGCAGAGACCCTTGCTGATGACCAGCAATCAATGTCAACAAAAAAACACTGGTACACTGGCATCCTTCAGAAAACAGGACCCCTGTTAGCCTGCCAGCCCCCATCATCCCCACTACAGAATGCTTTAAGTATCTTTATAATTACTAAAACCTGAAGTCCCACTCCACAGGGAACTGCTGTGACCTGTAGTCCAATTTTGAGGTTCTAATGTAACTTGTAGTCCTCCAGTCAGTCCCTGCTCTGACCTGTAGTTCCCCAACCAATCTCTGCTGTAACTTGTTGAACCAAGCCCTGCCTCTGCTGTGTCCTGTAATCTGCTACTGCCAGGCTTACTATGACCTCTAGTGCCACACCGCCCATATTGCGTTTAGACTTGCAGTGCCACCTAACCGCAACCTGTATCGCACACACTGTTTACGGCAGTGTGACAAGATAGCCACTGGATTACTGCCTCTACTGTGACTAGCCAGGCCAAGCCAAGCTGCTCGGCCATTGTAAAAGAAATGGCAACTCTCTGCCTCCTGCAGGGGAGGACTGACAATTCATGGGGCCCCCGGGCAATAGGGGATCATGGGGCCCCTGTGTCTTTGCCCAAACTCAAAAAAGTCTATGAAAAAGGTACCAGTTTCCAAATGGTCAGTCCACCCCTGGCCTCCTGTTGCTTTTGGTGCCTAGAGTTCCTGACCACCCCTGATATGAAGCACTTGGGCAGCCCAGGAGCTCCTGTAAAAGCCTGAACAGTCTAGCAACCTAATTTTCCTCCAAAGGGCTTCTTACATTTGCACGGTATCTTGCCATGATACCAGTCACTTAAGCTAAAATGGCACCTTTGACATGCT